TTTAAGTTCTGACTTGCTGAGAAATGGAGCTTCAATTTAGTTTTGTAACAATATTCCTACTTTTGCCACCACAAAAATGTATATTTTTACCTTATTCCCCAGTCTATTCATCACTAAAAGTTTGCTGATCCAAGCAAAAATTGGTTTATCCCTGGATGGGACAGGTACAGAGACTTGTTCATTGTGCCAAGTCCTCTGAGCTCTGATCCTTCCTGGGGGTTCTTGCCCAGGAATGAGGAGGAATTAAGCAAAGGATGGCTTGGATGCCCATATTTCTCACCCTGCTTGAGGACAGAGTATTCCAAGATCTCATTTTTTCAGCTAGGCGTGATGCTGGGCAGTGTTTCCAATAGACTTTGTGTGGTTTTCCTCTCTTCTTGGAGCTTCCTTCCTCCTCTTAGTGCTGGCAGGTTTGGAGGTTTCATGACGTAAATTGTGCCTTTTGAAGGTGCTGCAAGAACTTCAATCTCATGTGTTTAAACAGGAGAAAATCGGTTAATTACATTGGTACACTTAGCTAATTTTCCTTGCTGAGAGCTGATTCTCTCTCAGCAGTCAGCACCATAGCTGCTTAAAGAATTTCATCCATGACCATGATGCTGAGCTGTCCCCAAACACATTTCAGAGAATCAGAGAAACATTTAGGTTGGAAAAGCCCTCTAAGATTATCAAGTCCAACTGTTTCCCCAGCACTGCCAAGGCCACCACTAACCATGTCCCGAAGTGCCACATCCACATGGCTGTTAAATCCCTCCAGGGATGGTGACTCCACCACTGCCCTGGACAGCCCCTTCCAATGCCTGACCACACTTTCCAAGAAAAGAATTATTCCCAATATCCAACTTAATCCTCCCCTGGTGCAACTTGAGGCCGTTCCCTCTCATCCTGTCCCTTGTTCCCTGGGAGCAAAGCCTGATCCCACCTGGCTGCATCTCCTGTCAGGGAGTTGCAGCGAGCAAGAAAGCTCTCCTGAGCCTCCTTTTCTCCAGGCTGAGCCCCTTCAGCTCCCTCAGCTGCTACTAGTGCTCCAGCCCCTTCCCCAGGTCCATTCCCTTCCCTGGACACACTCCAGCACCTTCAATTCTCAATTTTCAGCTGCATCTCAGATAGCATCAAATAGGCTCAGATTCACTTAGACCTAAGGAAAGGCAGTTCTGAAATCTAAAGTATTGTCATGAATTGTGTTAGCTTTAAACTAACCTTGGTTGTTTCTACAGGGCACTTGGGGACATGGTTAGTGGTGGCCTTGGCAGTGCTGGGGGAATGGCTGGACTTGATGCTCTTAGAGGGCTTTTCCAACCTAAACCATTCCACGATTCTATGATTCTACTTCTGCATTACACTGGCTGTATGTAAAGCACTAGAGCTAGTATGTCTTGGAAGAAAATTCAAGGAATGATGCCTGCTCCACATGTCTGGGCTGTCACAGTGTGCACTGGTGCAGTTTCCCATCCTTAGCTCTAAGGAAAGCTCTGGAAGTCAGACACACCAAGATCAAAACTCTCAAACCCATACAGCTACTGGAGAGGGTCCAGCAGAGGCCACAAAGATGATTGAGGGTTTGGAGCATCTCTCTTATGAGGAAAGACTGTGGGAGCTGGGCCTGGTTAGTCTAGAGCAGAGAAGACTGACAGGGGATCTTATCAAATCCATACAAATATCTCCAAGGTGGGTGCCAAGAGGATGGTGCCAGAGTCTTTCAGTGGTGCCAGTGACAGGACAAGGAGCAGTGGCCATAAACTAAAACACAAGAAGTGCCACCTCAATATGAGGAAATACTACTTTACACTGAGGGTGGCAGAGCACTGGAACTGGTGCCCAAGATGGGTGTAGAGTCTCCCTCTCTGGAGACATTCCAAACCCACCTGTCTGTTGTGTCACCTGCTCTAGTGAGTGCCTTGGCAAGGGAGTTGGACTAGATGATCTCCAGAAGTCTCTTCCAACATGAACTATTCTGTGATTCTGTGAGAAAACTCACACAGACTTTGGTCCAATGCTGGTACCAGGACTACTTTTGCATGGCCTCTCCAGGATAGTTTGTGCTCTCAGGTATTTCCAAGCACATCAGCCTCTGCTATTGCTGTTAGCATTGCACTTGCAAATCACATCGCTTGGCTGTGGCTCCCACAGTGAATTCCAAGGCTCAAAGCGAAGAACAACCCTATACCTGCAAAGAATGGAATAACTCAGGAGAAACCTGATGTGTGGAACATTCCCAATGCAAAAAGGAAGATTTTCTTCCCTGTCACTGCTGACCTGAGGTTACCAAAACTGAAAACATTTTAATAACTGTGCTGTGTGCGCTTCATTCTCCATCTGGAAGTGAAAGCAGAGCTGTGAGTCTCATTTTGCTCAGTTTCTAGGTAATTTCACATCATTTTGTGCTGCAATGTGTGAGCACAATGGATGAATCTATAACAAAAGGCCTTGCTCTTAAAAAGTCTGATTTTCACGGAAATGAAACCAAGTCATTTCTTTGTGCTCACATTCTGCTAATTCCACCAGTTGGGCAATGATGTCATTTTTTTTCTTATGCTTTCTAAAAAAGCCCTTCTTGCCAAACCAGAGTTTGGTTAAAACTGAACTCCCAACCCACTATAAACAACACAAAAATATAATTTATTACTTTGAATCATGTCCCTGTTGTTCCAACCATCCATTGCACTGCACAGGATCTGGTAAGAAGAGCTTTTCATTCAGTGAGGGCTGACCACTAACACAGAGCAGAGCAGCTAAATGAATTGCTTGTGTCAAATAAAAGCAATTTATGATTTATGATTATTTATTATGATTTTCCCCCCTACAGCCTGTTACGGAGCTTGAGGCACATTAAAATCCCACATTTCCTGGGATAAAGTGTGTATTTCTTGTAGAAATAGAGAATCTTCCATTTGAAGCTGATACTTCCATCTGAGCCAGACTGAAATTTCAGGTATATTGTACTTAATTCTAGCAGCACTATAAATTTAAAGATTTATTCCTGGTATTATTCCTTCTATAACTGACACTGGAATCTGGCCAAACACCCATAAGCATTAGCACATAGAAACACATGGGAGATTAACAGAGGGAACAAACAAGCCCAGCAGTTCATGGAGATGGAAACCTCCTTCCTTGACTAGCACCTTTTAAACTCAAATCCCCAAAAAGGTTTAGCTGCTTAAGAGCTAAAAAATTAACTGGAAACTTTTGGAGGCTTTTGATTTCTACTAATAAACCAAAATTCAAACTTGTGGTGAGCTAGAAGGGATGGATCAAGGTAACTTAAAAACATTACTTTGCTGTCTTCTTCCATGGAGATGATTTTTTCCACCTCAAGCATGGACCTTACTCCTAGCTTAAGAGCAACCTGATGGTATTAAGTGGCATTTCATTTAAGGAAGCCAGGAACAGGCAGGATTATATTGGATACTAATTGCACAGCACTGACAAGGAGATGCTACAAGGGTTAAACACCACTGGCATGTGAAACACAGAGAAAGGTCTCTTGTTCTCCCATAAAATAAGGAAAACTACAGTAATTCTGCTGCAATGAATGAGCATGTCCTGAGGGCAAAAAAAAAGGTGCATTGGAAACCAGGAGATCCCAAAAAGGAAGAGTTCAGCTGCAACTAAAGCATCTGAAGCCATGTGGGCTGTGTGCTGCAGATGAAGCTTCTTCCACTGGACAATAAAAGCAGCTTAAGGAAATTTTTTTCATATTAACATCTGCATCTTGACAATGTTTTTCAAACCATGTTAAGCAACAAAACTGAGCTGAGACAATATAAAAATGTCCCCATTTTATTCAGCATAACAGGCCAATGGGATGGTTTAGATTTATACTGATGAAACATGGCCAGGCCTGAATGAAATGAACAGCTAATGGGTTTGAATTCTGGATTCTGGCAGGATAACTGGCTGGTTTTCAGGGCTGTGCTGGCAATTTGCTGTGGGCAGAGCAATATCAGAACAGGAACACCAGGATGGTGAATGTTTCTTCCCATTCCACCACTTCCAAGCTCACCCATCTTTTCTGCCAGCTCTTAGCTGAGTGAGCTGAACAGGTCAAAATTAAGGCTGAATGTTTAAGATGTCACACAAACTGCTTGTGGCAGTGCTGAGTTCCAGCATTACTTATTTCCAGGCTCATAATCAGAAACAAGCTCTAATTTAGTTATAAATCTAAATTGTAAGTTTTCAATGTGTAAGTGGTGAAACCAATACATCTCGCTGTGGTTTTAAGGTCTTCTAATTTCAGGGAAAGCCCCTGCTCTATCCAAGACAACTTTCTGAATGCAGCACTGAAGATGCCCTGAATATTGCCTGGGAATCAAAGACTTAGATATGGTTAATAAATAATATGGTTAATACACATCTAAATAAATAGATATGGTTAGCACACAGTTACAAAGGCAAAGTTACAACTGCTTGAACACAGTTAACAACTGTTTAGAAATGGAGAAGTATTTTTATTTCATCCTTTGGTGGTGACATTCAGGGGTAAAGCTTTAATCAGAGTATTTTGGGAATATCCAATATTCATTTTATATGTAAAAGGAGATAATGAAAAAATTTAGACGCTACTTTGCAAAAATCCCTGAAAAATACAGACAGCTTTGGAGAACTCCTCCTCTTTGTAGAAGTGGAGTTGTGCTCTCACAAGTGAAAATAACGTTAATAATAAAGGCAGTAGTAGGGTGACTTTTGCTGTTATTTTTTCCTGGATTGAGAAAAACAGAGTCAGTGTGAAGCAGCAGAAAGTAATTCCCTGCCTTTCAGTCTTAGCCATGTGTCAGCCCTACACGTGGATCCTTTTGTAACGTGGCACTGAGGCTCATGTTGGCCCATCACAGTGTTTCTCCTCAGAAGAGCTGTGTTTAGGCCCAGCCTGTGGTCTCAGTTGGAGGTGGAGCAACGTGCACAAGCCTGGAGAACAACGTGATGTCTGCTGCTGTGTTTACAGAGTCCTCCTCTAACCTGCTGACTCACCTCAGAGCACCAGACTGACTCTGAAATGGTTAAATGTGCTTACAGTTCTTCTTTTTCTTTCTGGGTACTTCTTCCACACACTCATTCAACTCCTCTTTTTGCCTTTTGTGTTTCTTCTTCTGGCGTTTCTTCTGCTTTGCTTCATGTTCCTTTATGCTGAGATCTTCCCCATCAGATACTCCTGCATCAATTTCTCCAGTGCCCATATTTTCATCAGAACTGATGCTTTCCCCTTTGTGCCACTCTTTATGTTTCCTCTTCTTTTTCCCTTTGTGACATTCATTTAATGGAGCATCCAGTTCCTTTCCATTCAAACCACCTGTCTTAGACTGTTTCCCTTTTGGTTCCTCACAATGCTCTGTCCTCTCTGCCTCATTATCTCTCTTCTGCTTCTTCTTTTTCTTTTTGACTTTGGTTTTGAGTTCTTCTGAAGGCTCTGAAGCTTCATCAGCTGTTGGGTTGGAATTATCTGTCTTTGTTTCTGGTTCCTTCTGGGATCCCTTCAACTTTGCCATGCGCTGGGCAAAATATTCTTGCACAGTGAGAACACTCTTCACTGTATTGGAACCATCTGCAGGGTTAGAGAGCCAGTGGTTCCTCTCCTTCTCTTCCTGAGACTCAGGATCTGTAATATCCGCCTGCAAGTGAACAGAGGAGCAGGAGTGAGAATCAGAAATAAATGACTTTAAACAGAATGGAGTTTTGGGGGTTTTTTGCACACTAATAAGAAAAATATTGAAAACCAATGTGGTGCTTTTAAAATTAACTGTAAAGTACAGCCTGGGGGAGAAGTGAGGCAGCCCTTAATGCAACAGACAGTGGAGGTTGAGGGAATCATAGAATATCCTGAGTTGGAAGGGACCCACAAGGATCCCTGAGTCCAACTCTTGGCCCTGCACAGCACAACCCCAACAATTCCACCATGTGCCTGAAAGTGTTGTCCAAACACTCCTAAAGCTCTGTCAGGCTTGGTGCTGTGAGCACTGCTCTGGGGAGCTGTTCCAGTGTTCAACCACCCTCTGGGGGAAGAACCTTTTCCTAATATCCTGCCTAAACCTCTCCTGACACAGCTTCAGGCCATTCCCTCAGGTCTCTCAGTGGTCACTAGAGAGCAGAGACTGGTGCTGTCGCTCTGCTGCTCTTCATGAGGAAGTTATAGACTGCTATGAAGTATACTATGAAGAAGACATGGAAGTATGGAAGGCAACAAGAAAATACAAAACAAGACAATTTTCAGCTGTTTTCAATTCCTTAGTTTACCAACTCCTACGTAACTCCTGCAGGTTGTGTACACCACGATCATACTCAAGAGTATTACACTCCCCTTGCAAAGGCACATGCCTCTACAAGATAGAACTAAATGAAAAATAATCCAGTACAATCTCTTAGCCTGTGGCACAAAGGAAATCCCATGCCTGGAATACTTCTACAGCAAAGAACTTCTGATCCAGTGAGCAATCCAGCACTGATGCATCTCTTGCACCTTATCTGATCTTTAGAAATGTTTGTTTCCCAGCTGGTTTTCTGTCACTGTGTCCCAGATGTTGTTATTTAAACACACTCCAATTGATCACACGTTATCAGATGGCAAAAACAACATCACAGGTTAGATCTTACAAGGCTTCTGCAGACATGGAATGAAGAGCTGCTGAAGTCTAGCTGCAGGTGAGTAGCTACCAAAAGAGTTTTAACTAGAAAGCAAACTAAAAGCAAAGTATAGCTATGGGGCTGGATATTATGTATGGCGTTAAGAGAATTGACTCCGAAAACGCAATGAATGCAGCTGATTCAGGTTTGTTCACATGGATACTGAAGCACTCAAAAATAAGCCTTTGTGGTATGTCCTTTTGCTTGGCAAAAGGCATAAATGACTCTTGGAAATGTCCCAAATTTTCACAAAATCACAGAATCATTTAGATTGGAAAAGACCTCTGAGACCATCAAGCCCAACCTATGACCTAACACCACCATGTCAACTAGCCTATAGCACTAAGTGCCATATCCAGTCGTTTCCTGGACACCTGCAGGGATGGTGACTCCACCACCCCCCTGGGCAGCCCCTTCCAATACCAGACAATCCTCTCTGTGAATAAATTCTTTCTGAATGCCCAACCTAAACCTCCCCTGGTGCAGCTTGAGACTCTTGTCCTGTCACTCGTTACCTGGGAGAAGAGACTGACCCCCATCTTGCTCCAACTTCCTGCCAGGGAGTTATAGAGAGGAATAAGATCCCCTCTGAGCCTTCTATTCTCCAGGCTGAGCTCCCCCATGTCCCTCAGCTCATTATTTTTAAAGCCTTGTACACCCTACAGGTATCCAAGCACACCCTCTGGATGGGAAAAGCTGAGCAGGTAGGATGGTGTAGAATCTTCAGCAACATGTGGCCTATGACATGTTCTTGCAGAGGAGGTAATCCACAGCTATTACACAGTCAAAGTGGTGAGCACGACAGGGATAATTCCCTGCTTTTCCATTCAGAAGCACAGAGATAAGAGCATCCACTCTGCCCATGCATCCTGTATGTGAACTAAAGGGACTATAAAACACAACCAAATCAGAGCAGTGATGTTTCACAGCCACTTTCACTGATACAAAGTGATACACAGGAAAGGCCAACAGAAACCTGGGAGATATAAACCCACTTATCTCGATGCTTTATAGCTATTGCACGATGGTGGAGATAAGTGCTCTGCCTCTCTTCAGGGCATCGTTAAACTTGCTGGCTGAAGTGGGGTTAATTAGGGTTTGTGAGTAAGGTTTTCCAGGTCTGACTCCTTATGCA